ATAGCCGTTTGGGAGCTTTTGGTTTTTAATTTTTTTAATTTTTTTATTTGAAAATTATACATATTGTAAAATACGGAGTAAGTTAATTAATTTATTGAATTAAGTAAAGCTATTTTTACTTAGAAAATTGGTTTGATTTATAATTTACAAATGTTACAAAATAGGCATATAATAAGCGTATAAGGTTTATTTAAACAAATTACATCGTAAGGCTATTTTTAATTTAAAAACAGCCTTTAGAAAATTAATTGTAAGTTGTAAGTTTGTAACCAATTAATTAATTTGAGAAGTGCTACATATGAAAAATTGAAAGCATATTTATTTGAAATATGAAGTACAAGTTTACAAATTACAATTGAGAATTGAGGAAAAGATTAAAACATGAAATACATTTTAAAATAAATTCTAAAATACTAATCAATCGGAATCTCCGATTCTCCGGCATAGGTAGAGCCACCATCGGTTGTTGAGTATATATTAAGTAGATGTAGAATGTATGTATTAAGTAGATAATAAGTAGAGATTAAGTAGATAAGAAATATAAGTAATATAGTATATGTATTTATAAGTAGATAGTTAATATATAAGTAGATATAATAATTGTATAAGTATTAAATAGTAAAATAAAATATAATGGAGAATAAGAGAATTTGAGAAGATGAATATGGAGATGAGTAGAGAGTAGAGAGTAGGATTTAGGAAGAGTTGGAGAAGAGGTGTGAAAAAATGTTTAAAATTAAGAGTATTTATAGTTTTTTTTAAACCCCCACCCCCCACCCCCCAAAAGCCCCGGATCCCCCGATACCCACCCAACGGCTATATAGCCGTTTGTGGTTTGGGTCAAGAGCCAAACGGCTCTTTACAAATTGAAAGGAATATTTTTTTTAAATAAGGCCGTTAGGCCCGCCGGGCCGGATCGCCAAAACCAAGCACCGAGCCCGGACCCCCCCGGTTCGGGCACTGAACTGGACCCAGACCCGGACCCGAGAACCGGGCCGGTTCCGGGCCCGCACAGTAGCAGGCCGGGCCGGTCCACGGGCCGGGTGGCCCGAACCGGGTCCAAGACTAAAAAAAATGTATTCTCATTGTAGATTTTCCCTACAAGCCGTCAATCGACATACATGTCTACAAAACGGAAATCATCAAAGTTGATCTCATAAAAAAATATAGCGGCAACTATTTTACAATAGACAAATACCACCATAGTTAAGCAATAAATACTCTTGACCTATAAATTACCTATTTACATTTAAATATGTTTTTGGAAAATTAAAATTGATAGTAATAATCTCAACTATTGGCGGTCCGTATAGTTGGAATGATACAAAAATAATTAATAGTTGAGATTATTGTTAACGGACTGAGAATAGTTTAGATGATTGTTTTCAAATTTTCCTATATTTTTTTATCCTCCTAATAACTGTCTGATGCTGGGGACCCTGAGAGTTGGACTGGCATCCTTTTAAATATTTTTGAGAAGGGGACTCGACCTACATAATGAGATTATGAGAATGAATGACTAAAAAAAGTCACCAATTCACCATTAAATGAACATTTATGAGCAGTGAAGCTCACATACACTGCCTATTGGGACCTGTCCTTTTGGGCCGACAAACAATAATTTTACCACCTCGTTTTTTTTATATATAGAAGACTAGTTTTCAAGCCCGTGCGATGCACGGGTAGCACATAATTTCGATAATTATAAAATTGATTTTTTCGGAATCATATATGTAGTATAATTTAGAGCTCATTTGGTAACCACATTTTTTAGATTATCAGGTTTATCAGTCAACTTTTTCATCAAACACGTAAATTTTAATTTCGGCGTTGAATTGTGTAATAATAATAAAGAACGTATGGTTAGGGTTACTTTTATGAATGTATTGGCTGAAGTTACTGTAGGAGATCATTTTATTTATGTATTCTATATAATTTTCTTTATTTAATTAATAAATATATTTTAAATATAATTTTTACATAAATCAGCAAAATCAGCCAATACAGCGACTTCAGTCAAAACTTCATAAGTTTCAGCAGAATTAGCCGATTTTGATGTTACCAAACGGGTTCTTAATGCGAATCAAAAGCAAAATAAACTTGATCCGATATAAACCGTTTGATAATACTAAATTTAGTTGAATTGTCTGATTCTAATGTAATGAATTAAATCTAACTGATTAGACTGAATTGACGGAATCTCCTGAATTATGAAAAAAATAAAATAAAAATTACCACATATATCATTAATAAAATAAAATAAAAATCATATGAATTTTTTTAAACTGGACTTCTACATAAGCATCCCAGCTAATTAACCATAATTGTTATGAACCCGGTTTTAAAAATTTCACACAACAGTTTCTTAATTTATCTCACATACTTTAAATTACTTTATTAAGCATCTCAAAACACTATTTTTTAATATTTCTCATTCAATATGGTATGAAATAAGTATTTTTAAATTTTAACATTTTAGTCATTATTTCGTCATATTGAAAATGTAAAAAATGGATCATTACTCAATGTAAAAAAGTTATTCTACCAAAATAAAATACTAAACTTTAGTATTATCAAATGACTTTATATTAGACCAAGAGTATAAAATAACTTTGTATAACAATATTAATAGGAATTTGGTTGGTTTATCTGTTAAGTGGGCAAAATAATTAAATAAGGTGGATTATATCTCTTTTGTTTCCGAATGGCTATTAATACGTAGTATAAAATATCCAATATTAATAAGCATTATATTAATATCCAATAAAACACGTAGTATCCAATATTCTCAAAAAGTACTATACAAATTAATAAGTACTCCGTAATAAGTTCTCAAAAAGTTACCAAATAAGTTGGATTCTATATCTTTTGTTTCTGTATCAATATGCAATAAAAAATAGAATGTAATAAAAATAAAAGGTATAAAAAGTTATTTAAATACTACGTAATTATATATGATGATATGGCAGGATTATGTGGCGCGTCGTATGCTCTTAAAAAATTCCTCTTTTATATATATATTGATTCGACTATGTGTGATGCATCACTACATTCTATAGAAGCCATTCATAGAATGTATTTTCCGTGTCTGTAAGCATTTTCTATGTAAATAAATTAGAAAAATCTGTCTGTAAGCATTTTTTTGTTATTTTCCGTGTACACATGTATTTTTTCTAAAAAAATGACAGAATTGTCTATGCACATAGAGACGACTCGAACATGTAAATGAGCGTGTTCATCCAAATTTCCAAACCATGTATAACGACAACGGTCCAAATAAATTACACTAACGACAACTAGGGGCGGGTCGGTTCAAACAGTTCGGTTTTCACCTAAAACCAAATGTCGAACCAAAGTAAAAAGTTTGGTTCGGTTCGATTTTATGTTAAAATTTGGAAGCACGGTTTGTTCGGTTCGGTTTCGGGTTTTTCGGTTTTTACCAAAGCATTTTTGTTGATTAGAAAAGGAGTAATTGGAAAACAAAAACAAAAAAATAAGCTGCATGAAATTATTATTAATAGTAATATAATACAAAAACATATAATTAAAAAAAAGAGAAGAAACAAATGCACCTCCAAACAATGAAATAGAGAGTATGTGTATACCAATTTAAACTTTTTCTAAATTAATTAAACGCATGAGTTTATTCGTGAATTATATACAGTGTATTCACAAGTTAAAATTTATTTAGTAAATAACTTATCCTGCTTTCTTTTTATACAAAGATATTCTGCTATGTTGTTTAAAGTGTAGTTTATATTAATATATATTTGTTCAGTATATAAATTATGTGATAACAAGCATACATAACATATAAATATATCAACAAAAATATCATTGACATGCAACAACAAGCAAAATATATATTACAATTTAAAATATCAACATATTAGTATTTATAACAATAGATTTAGTTGTATGTACAAGTGTTTCACTTAATTAAGCCATAAATATTAAATATCAATATCTTGCAAATCATAATAAATCTAGTGTTAACCATTAATTTTCTAAAATTAAGAGTTAAGAACTAAACAAAATATTATATTTAATGATTAATAAATAAAATAACAAGTTTTAAAAAGTTCGATTTATTCGGTTCGGTTCGGTTCGGTTTTGAGATGTGAAAACCAAAACCGAAACCAAACAACTAAGGTTTGATTTTTTGAGTTCGGTTTCGGTTTTCTTGCGGTTCGGTTGTTTTGGTTGCGGTTCGGGTTTTTTAGATTCGGTTTCCGGTTTTCGATTTCTCCGACCCACCCCTAAGGCTGTCCGCAACCCAAGCATAAAAAATCAATTTTAAAGTTTTCACCCCTTTATGTGCTGCAAACCTAGTATACATGAGTCTCAAATTGGTTAGATAGCACCCATGGAGGGCTATATTTCACGGAGTATTCACGGAGAGAGAATAGCAATTGCTGGCTTTGCTGCTGCGATAAAGACATTCCAGAAAAAAATAAAAATCCCAACTTTTTCTAATGTGTTGTAACTTTTTTATCTTTATTCCAATTTTAATAAAAATTATATCAAATTTCATAATTTTTTATTATCTTTCATATGACACCAATATGAGATATCTAAAGTTTCAAAATAAAAATACTACGGAAAAATAAAATTTCATGAGTTGTAGATTTTTTGTTCAAAAATTTTGTTATGTAGATTATTTAAATCTCATGTTTGACTTTTAAAATCATAATTATTTTCAAAAGAAATTGATAAAAAAAACTGATGTATAATGATAAAATGGAGGCTTTAATTAAGAAAAACTTTAATAAGTGAATATATTGACGGTGTTGGATTGTAGTAAAAAATGAATTGACTGAATGAATACATATAAAGTAGTGAGAAATTTGATTTATTGACGGAGCTGAGTTGCGAGTAGCCTAACAACAAGTCAACAACGTGAATATGGAGGGCCCGGTTATTTTTTTAAGTTATGAGGCCTATCTTAACAGTAAGCCTACATATGGGCTGAAGCCCAGCTCTAATTCTTCTTACAATTACTAAGCCCTAGAGGCCGTACATGATTTCCAGGAGTATACTAATAAACTCTTTCTTTATCGCTCTCGCTTTGGCTTTGGCTTTCGTCTCCACGCCCGACGGCTGCCCTCTATTCAGGTTCTTCCACTTCTAGAGCCATATATTTATTTTTTGCTGCTTCAACTCAAGTTTTTATCAAATCTTTTCCAATAAAATATAAGTATGATCTGTATGAACTATAAAGCTCATGACGCTGCAATTTTTTTCACATTTCTGATAAGCAATTGTTTTGTTCTATTTTTTTTTTCTTCCAATTTTGCGATCTTAGCTATTTTGTTTTTGACAGACTTATTAGGCTGTATATATCAGATTCTTTAGTAAATCTGTTTTATTTCTTTCAATTTCCCATTGAAAACAGTAGGAACTAAATAAATCACAATGTCTATTTCTAATTTGCAATATAGGCTATTACAGAGAGATTTTATTTTGATTTATTACTAGGTCTGAAAATTTCAACTTTTTTTCTTTCATGAAATTGGTAATCAACATTCTATTAGTTGTTGCTCACTTGCTCTATAGATAGGTTTTGGATATTTTGCTATTCTGTTTAATTCAATCTTTCTGTATGATGCTTGAGCTGAGTAGTTAAGTTGCACTTGATGGAAACTCGGTCCAGGGCCGAGTAGGCGAGTAGCCATTAGCTACTCTGGATTACTCGGCCATGTTTTAATAAAAGTATAATATTAGTGTCATAAAAGACTGGTAATATGTGAGCCTTAGAAGCATTATACACCCAACACACACATACAGAAACTATTAAAAATCCATTACAATTGAGGTCTCAAAAATCAAAGAAGCATAAAAGCAAAAAGAATATGAGCAAGTATCAATAATAAAAGGGACATGATGAAGAAGAACTCACTAAGAGAGTGATGCCAACAATCTGTTAAACAATCTTGGTTCTTCCATTTTTTCATCACATAGACACATAGTATCCCACTTTGGTCACAGAGTTGCCGAATTCGTCTAGTACTCCATGATTAACTCAGAATATTGGAATGAATTAAGTCGTTAACCTACTGGACAAGGTGTTACCATGAGTAGCAAGTACTAGCTGAATAGATAACTTAATGTTTGAGTTGCTCAACTTTTGTGATGTTCTGATACAGGGATAAAAGATGGTGCAGTATAATTTCAAAAAGATTACCATTGTCCCCAATGGGAAAGACTTTGTTGACATCATCCTCTCCCGTACACAAAGGCAGACTCCAACTGTTGTTCACAAGGGCTATGCAATATCTCGTATCCGCCAGTTTTACATGCGCAAAGTGAAATATACACAGTCAAACTTCCATGACAAACTCTCCACTATTATTGAGGAGTTCCCCAGGCTTGATGATATCCATCCTTTCTACGGTGACCTCCTCCATGTCCTTTATAACAAAGACCATTACAAGCTTGCACTTGGCCAAATAAACACAGCAAGGAACTTAATTTCCAAGATTGCAAAGGATTACGTCAAAATGTTGAAGTATGGTGATTCACTATATCGATGCAAATCTTTGAAGATTGCTGCCCTGGGACGAATGTGTACCGTGATAAAGCGAATCACACCCAGTCTGGCATATCTTGAGCAAATTAGACAGCACATGGCTAGGTTGCCTTCGATCGATCCAAACACTAGGACACTCTTGATTTGTGGGTACCCTAATGTCGGTAAGAGCTCTTTCATAAACAAAATTACAAGAGCAGATGTTGACGTGCAACCTTATGCGTTCACCACAAAGTCCTTGTTTGTGGGTCACACTGACTACAAATACCTTAGGTATCAAGTCATCGACACTCCGGGAATATTGGACAGACCATTTGAGGACCGTAATATCATAGAGATGTGCAGTATTACAGCCTTAGCCCATCTTAGAGCTGCGGTTTTATTTTTCCTAGATATATCAGGATCTTGTGGTTATAGTATTGAACAGCAATCTGCTTTGTTCCACAGTATAAAGTCTCTCTTTATGAACAAGCCCTTGGTCATAGTTTGCAACAAAACTGATTTGCAGCCTTTGGATGGGATATCAGAGGAAGACAAGAAGTTAGTCATGCAGATGAAAGAAGAAGCTATGAAGACTGTCATTGGACAAGGTGGGGAGGCCACAGACGACCAAGGTGTGCTTTTGACTATGAGTGCTTTAACTGAAGAAGGTGTGATTTCCGTGAAGAATGCTGCTTGTGAGAGGCTGTTGAACCAAAGGGTTGAAGTCAAGATGAAGTCTAAGAAGCTAAATGACTGCTTAAACCGTTTTCACGTCGCCATGCCGAAACCACGTGACCAGAAGGAAAGGCCTGTGTGCATACCTCAGGCAGTGCTGGAAGCGAGAGCAAAAAAAGCAGTAGAAGTTGCAGAGAAAGAGAAGAAGAAGCTTGAGAGGGATCTTGAGAATGAGAATGGAGGTGCTGGTGTCTACTCTGCCAAATTGAGTAAGCACTATATCTTGGCGGATGATTCTTGGAAAGATGATGTCATGCCAGAGATTCTCGACGGGCACAATGTGTTTGACTTCATCGATCCTGACATCTTGCAACGGCTTGAGGAGTTGGAGAAAGAAGAAGGGCTTCGGCAAGAACAAGGAGATGAAGGTGACCTGGAGATGGAAGGTGGGCCTGAGCTGACCCCTGAAGAAAAAGCCGCCTTGGCTGAGATCAGGAAAAAGAAGAGTGCGCTGATCCAGCAGCACCGTATTAAGAAAAGTACTGCCGAAAGCCGACCAATCGTTCCAAGGAAGTTCGATAAGGACAAAAAATATACATCAGAGAGGATGGGCAGGCAGTTGTCCGGGCTGGGACTGGATCCAACCCTTGCGGTCAACCGGGCACGCAGCAAGTCAAGGGGACGTAAGAGGGAACGATCCGTATCTGGCATGGGCGACTCGATGGATGTTGATGGTGATGAGGAGACTCCTAACAAGAAGTTGAAGTTGATGCTGTCTAGGTCCAGGTCAAGGTCAAGGTCAAAGTCAAGGCTTCCAAATGAATTGGTGCCTGGTGAAGGATTCAAAGACTCTGCACAAAAGTCCAAGGCTTTTGATTTGGCTAAGAGCTCTTTCAAGGTGAGGAACAAGGCAGCTTGCAAGGGTGAAGGTGATAGAACTATTCCTAATCTGAAACCGAAACACTTGTTTTCTGGCAAGCGTTCTAATGGAAAAACACAAAGGCGTTGAGGTATGTTGCTGTCTTTCATATCTCGTTATCATGTTCAAGTGTGTGTAATCTCAATCATTTGAGTCTTTATTGTAGGGTAATGTTATGATGATTCAGTGTTCTGTCTGGTCATAAATAGACTACTAAATTATGTAATTGACAAAGTCCAGCATCATATGAATCTTTAAATTTAACTTGTCCTTACACTAGAAAGAATCTTTGCAGGTATACAAGGTTCTGATGAAGTTGTGCAAATTTTTGGAGTGTTGTGTATCTCAGCTTGTTGTTCTGGGGAGTCGGATTGGATCCACCAAATACTCCTCTCTTTTTGGTCTTGCAAGTTATTTACTGTTGCTTCTTATGTTTATGTTTTTTGCCGCTCCATATAATGTTTATTTTGTTATGTTCTCAAGGGATTAAGTTTTTACCTATTTCTATTTTGACTGGTGCCGTTTATTGAATGAATGACACAGATGTGATATTTAGAGTTTAATTTAATACACAAATATGATACCTATCCAACAACAGTACAACACAGTGACTATAAAACTTAGCTCTAGATCTATTAAATTTCTATCTCCTAAGGCCCAAGCGGCCAAGCCCAAGTAGGGATAGGTATCAAAAGACTCAAAACTCATCTATTTACGTCTTAAGCCAATTTCTCTTTCATGTGGTAGGGTGTTGTCGATAGTAAAAAATGTTTTACAAATGAACACTTCAGTGACTTTGGAGCTAAAATATGTAAATGGCTCACATCTCATTTGTAATGCAACAAAGTCCTAACATATTGCATTACATGAGACAACGTTTTCAGGTATTATTTGTAGAAAATGATTTTGAAATGAATGAGAAACTATCCCGAGAAGCTTTTTCGAAAACAAGTTTCGTGCAGGCCTGGACTCGGGCCGGGTCCGGGTTGGGCCTAGGCCCGGGTGGGCCGGTGGTTCAGAATTGGTGGACCCTTGAGTGGCCCGTGTAGCCACCAGGTCCGGGCCGGGCCGGGCCTCCGCTTTGTTTTTTTTTCTTCCTAACCCCCCCTCACCCCCCTCTAGGAGTGGACTCGGGTCGGGTTGGCCCGACCCGGACTGGTATTGTTTGTACCCGGCCCGGTAACCGGTCTGGGTGCCGGTTCGGGCCACCCGACCCGGTCTGATAGCTGTCCGGGCTCGGGCCTGTATATAAGTGAACCGGCCCGGCCGGGCCCGGTCCGGGCCACAACGGTTAGATTTTTTATTTTTATTTTTTAAAATAATTAAAGGTTTGGAGGGTGGGGGGTACGGGTGGGGTATACAAAAAAAACCTATTTATACTCTTATTTTCTATACATTTTTTACACCTCTTCTTCTACAACTCTTCATACTGTCTAATTCTCTATTCTCTCAATCTCTCATATTCAATCATCTTCATTCTTCATTTTCTCTAAATTCTTTCTACATATATATAATTTATATAATTATTATATCTACTTATATATTAATTATTTACTTATAAATACATACTTATATAGAGTAGTGTTCGTGTCAGTACCCCCCCCAAAACGGACCTCCGTACGGACCTCGACGTTTGGGCCCCTTCCTGGTGGAATTTTTTGATGAAATTTTTTGAGCATGTTCTTTATCAAATATAGTTTACCCATACCAAATTTCAGCTAAAAATTCCATCGGGAAGGCAGTCAAATGATTTTTTGAAGTTAACTGGGCACTTTATATACATATAAAATGCAGTTAACTTCCAAAAATTATTTGACTGCCTTCCCTGATGGAATTTTTAGTTGAAAATTGGTATGAGTAAACTAGACTTAATGAAAAACATGTTCAAAAAATTTCATCAAAAAATTCCACCGGGAAGGGGCCCAAACGCCGAGGTTCATACAGAGGTCCATTTTTGGAGGTCCTGACATGAACTTTCCTCTACTTATATATACTTATACACGTTCATATTATAATTCTTTACACATTATATATACTATATATACTTATACACATTCATATTTACTTGATATTTAGTTATTATCCATACTATTGTTATTTACTTATATTTACATATTACATTTAGTTAATATATATACATATATATATATATATATATATATATATATATATATATATATATATATATATTAAAGTATTAAGTATAAGTGTATTACTCATCTTATAGTAATATACTTATATATTATGTACTATAAATATTATATTATATATTACTTATAATACATTTACACATTATATAAACTATATATACTTATACACATTCATACATTTTATAAAAGTAGTTAATGGTTAGACTTCTCATTTATCTATTAAATTAGTTAATTGTTACATTTGTCTACATTTCTCTTTAAAGAAAAAAACTTAGTTACTTGTTACATATCATTTTTCATTTAATATTAGTTAAACTAGTTACTTAGTTAATTGCTACATTTCTCATTAAAGTAAAAAAAAAACTAGTTAATTTTTACATTTGTCATATTAATATTAGTTAAACTAGTTAATTTTTACATTTGTCATATTAATATTAGTTAAACTAGTTAATTGTTACATTTGTCATATTAATATTAGTTAATTGCTACATTTGTCATTAAAGTAAAAAAAACTAGTTAATTTTTACATTTGTCATATTAATATTAGTTAAACTAGTTAATTGTTACATTTGTCATATTAATATTAGTTAATTGCTATATTTCTCATTAAAGTAAAAAAAAACTCGTTAAGTTTTACATTTGTCATATTAATATTAGTTAAACTAGTTAATTATTACATTTCTCATATTAATATTAGTTAATTGCTACATTTCTCATTAAAGTATTAATTAGAAGTAGTTCGATTTTTTTCATGGAAAACAAATTGTTACATTTGATATACTCATATTTTAGTTCGAATTTGCTATAGTTTTCTTTGTCACATTTTATTATTACTATTGTACTCATATAAAATATTTGATATCATTTAATATTTGTTCAATTTTAAAGATGGATTGTGGTAAACATTCTGTAGATATGGGTAATCTCCAATGCAACCGCAAGAGGGAGATTGCGGCGACTCGTCCTACTTCACGCAAAGGCAAAGGTAAAGCGCGAGCCGAGTCTTCTTTTCAAAGTCGAGATGATTTTGAAACGGATTACCAACGGAGAGATGATATGGCGATGTCCGACGAGCAACTACAAAATCTATTGTCCCAAAATGATCCACGCTTTGCACAAGAACAACAATTTCCGACAACCATTGACGAAGATGAGCTTGAGGATGAGGATGCGGAGGAGGACGAAGGGCGGGGGGGGGGGGGACGGCACTCCGGATGATGAGCAAGAGTTGGAGGACGAGGGGGTTTCATCCCAAATTGGTAAGAAATCTAAATCTCCTATTATTGAAAACAATTTTACAAAAAGGAAAGACAAAAATACCGATAAATGGTACGCAAGTTGCAATCATTGCAACAAAGAGTATAGTTTGGGAACTTGTGGCGGATACGGGAGTCTGACAAGGCATCTTAAGTCTGCACACTTTGTGGAGTATGCGAAAATAGACAAAGGCAAGAGGAAGCAAACACAAATATCGAGGTTTGCAAATTCTCAACTCTTTGGTAATTTCTTCTATGATGATAAAAAACATTTGACTGGTATGTCTCATTTAATTGTTGAAGAAAATTTACCCTATATTTTTTCCGAAAGTCTTGCTTTAAGAGATTATAGTCGCAAAACGATTAAAAAATAAGTTATAAGGCAATATAACTTGGAAAAAGAAAAATTACAAACTTTTTTCGCAAACTTTGATGGACGTGTTAGTATTTGTAGCGATATATGGGAGGATACTTATCATCATTTATATTATTTGGGTCTTACTGCATATTATATCGATGATGATTGGAATATGCATAAACGTGTTCTTGCTTTTCGTGAATTCAATGATCGTCACACTGCTGATAATATTTATATTCTCATTGAGCGTATTTTAATTGAGTATAATTTGATTGATAAGGTGTTTGCTGTAGCTTTTGATAATGCTAGTAATAATACTGTTGCTATACTTAGATTGCGTGAATTGTGTGGTGCTTCTACATTGATGGGTAAGTTTTTTCATCAACGTTGTGCATGTCATATTCTAAATTTGTGTGTACAAGATGGGTTAGCGGCATTAGGAGATGCTTTGGAGGTAGTGAAGGGGGGAATTAAATTGATTTGGGCTAACATTCCACTAAAAATGCAATGGCGCCAATATTTGAAGGATAGACGTGTCAATTATTGTGCTTTTCCTAAAGATTTGTCTATTCGTTGGAATAGTACTTATAACTTAATTCAAGTACTTATTAGATATAAAGATCATTTTCCTGCTTTTTAAAGATAATCTTGTAACTATATTATAAACCCGGCTGACATCGACACTTGTGAAAAAATTGTTAATGTTTTGGTATATTTTAATAACGCAACTCAAACTTTTAGTCATGTTTATAAACCTACCGCAAACGAATTTTTTGTTGAAGTTGTTAATCTCGCCGGCGCTTTTTGTGAATTTTCTGATGCCGCTTACGTTAGTTATTTTTGTGATTTCATGAAACAAAAGTTTTTAAAATATTATTCACATATTCCGCATATATATGGTATTGCATTTGTTCTTGATCCTCATTATAAACGTACTTGCTTACTTGGGAACTTGTATAGATTACTATTATGCTTCTTTTTTTCCAACTCAAGAGTTCGATGATAATCCCATCGACCCTATACAAGAACACAACGATGTTAGTAATTTATTTCATCAATTGTATAATGAATTTCATGCACAATATGGCAATGCACCCCCTCCCATGCCGCACACATCTTCTTCATCTAAAGGAAAATCACTTTTAAAATCTGCATTTGGTTCTCTTTTGAAAAAAAGTAGAGCAACTCCCGCTACTGAACAAAGCTCAGTTAACGAGCTTTCTTTGTATCTAACATTGAATGTTGATTATGAAGTTGGGGATGACTTTGACGTTCTTAAGTGGTGGAAGGAAAATGAAAGAACGTTCCCGATTTCATCAAAGATGGCTAAGCAAGTGCTAGCAATGCCGATATCAACACTTGCCGTGGAACAAGAATTTAATGCGGATGGCAACGTCCTAACCGATTATAGAACGAGGTTGAGCCCGAGCTCTCTTGAGACACTAGTTTGCTTCCACGATTGGTTGAAGGGGTTTGTCCTCAAATAATACTAATTTAAAGCATTTGGACAAAAAAAGAGACTTTTCTTTTAAGTTCCAAAAATAAGACTAAATAATACTTAAGGGACTGTTACACCCTTACTAAGCCCAAACCCACTGGCTTGCTACAGTAACCCGCCACAGCGACCAAATGTGCAGTGACCAATGTTATAGTTACCAATGACATAGTTACAAAATCCGCCAGTGACCAAAATCCATCAATGACCAAAATCCGTCAGTGACCAAAAAACCGCCAGTGACCAAAATCCATCAATGACCAAAATCCACCAGTAATAAAAAAACCGCCAGTGACCAAAGTGACTCTCGACCCGCAAAAAGTTACCGTGACTCTGATCCGCACAAAGTTACAGTGACTCCGACCTCCACAAAGTTACAGTGACTTCGACCTCCACAAAGTTACAGTGACTTCGACCCGCAGTGACCAATATTACAATTACCAAGACACCAAATAACAACCGCCTCAGTAACCACCCGAGCTCTAGTGACCATCCGGCTCCCGTGACCACTCGGCTCACAGTGACATCACTGCCCGCCAGTGACCAATAGATTACCGCTATCTCCGACCATTGCCGCCCGGTCTGCCCATAACCACCTCTACCTTGACCTACCCTAGTATCCTATTTGCCCCTTGCCCCACCAGCCCCCCGGCCCCGCCAATCCGCCCATGCCCCTTGCCCCATCAGACCACCCCATAGCTGCCACTGCCTCTGCCCCACCAGTCCACCCCAGCCCCCAACCCCACCAGTCAACCCCTTCCTAACCAGCCCACCCCAGCCGCTCCCATGTCACATTACACTAGTCGACCTTGCCTCGCCGTCGACACCGCTGCCTTGCCCCCGACACTACGGTCGTCGTCTCAGATGGTGACACCATCTGTGCCCTCTACCCCAGCCCCCTACCCAACTCCCAGAACCGCTATTTCCTCATCACAACCCTAGCCGCAGCCGCCATATGTAATCTGGATCTAGGCCGCCCACCGCCACCTCGATGCAACTTATCGCCTCAAAATCCTAGCCACCGGTAACCTCATCACAAATCTGGAAATGAGGACGACGATGTCATTCTCCAGTGTTCGAACTCGCCTCTGGATCTCCTCAAAGCTTAATCGATTGAACGGAAAATAAGAAAAGGTGAAGAAGAACGAATGGGCGGCGACGTGGAACATGACGGTGGAGGCGACGACGTAAATGATGGCGGAGACGCCAGTACCTCCTCGAGGCAGAGCTTGAGCCAAGATGAGAGGCGTCAGAGCGACGGAGATGCTGCGGTGATGGAGGAGCTTCGAATATCGCAGAGCTCGACGGATGCGGTGGCCATGGATGTGCGGCTGGAGGTGAGATGATTGAGACGATAAGATTTGGAATTTGGGGATTAGGTTTGAGTCACTCCGTATTATATGAGGGGTGCATATGTCCATCCACTTATAATTAGTTCTATTTTTGTCCAAAATTAAAACAAGTCTTACTTTTGTCTTTGAGAAGTGTGGTAATATTATATCTGTCATTATTTCTATTAGATTCCGATTGATAATTTATTACAAAATGTATTTCATTTATTAAATTCATCCTAATTCTCAATTGTACTTCTTATTTGAAATAAATATACTTGAATTATTTTATATTATTGTGTATATCACTTCAATAATCAACAAAAAATTTTTATTCAATAATCAATTCAATAAAATTAATTTGTAAACTTGTACTTCATATTTCAAATAAATATGCGTTCATTTTTTCATCTGTAGCACTTCTCAAATTAATTAATTGGTTACAAACTTACAAGTAACAACTTAAAATTATTTTTTTAAAATCTAAAGGCTGTTTTTAAATTAAAAATACATTTACAATATGTAATTTGTTTAAATACTTATACACCTATTTTGTAACATTTGTAAATTATAAATCAAACCACTTTTCTAAGTAAAAATAGCTTTACTTAATTCATTAAATTAATTAACTTATTTTACAATATGTATAATTTTCAAAAAAAAATTAAAAAAAGTTTAAAATACAAAACATCTCCCAAACGGCTATATAGCCGTTGGGGCTTTGAGTGGGGGGCAGGGGGGTCCCGGGGTGGTGGTGTGGGGAGTGGGGTTCAAAAAAATCTATAAATACATCTATTTTCTACCATTTTTCTACACCTCTTCTCCAACTCTTCTCCATCTTCATCTTCTCTTATTATCCTACATTCCTACTTATACATCTACCATTTTAAAGATGGAAAGTAATTCTTCCATTATGCAAAACAATTTTGATAAGTGGAAGGACCTGAAGACCGGACTGTGGTGGGCAACTTGCAAGTGGTGCAAGAAAGAGTGTTGCTTGGGGCGTTCACACGGAGTGGGGATGCCAATAAAACATATGAAGTCATGTGAGAAAGACAAAACAACAACCAACGGTGGCGGAAATCCCGATTGATATTTATTAGAAAATGTATTTCATATTGTTATTTTTTTCTCAATTCTCAAATGTACTTCCTATTTCAAATAAATGCACTTGAACTTTGTTTTTAATAAGAATTTGTATAATCTATAATTAAAAAAAAATTTAACAGGCCTGGCCCGTGACCCGGGCGGGTGATCCGGCCCGAACCGGCACCATGTAACACCGACCCCAAGTATATTTACCTTTATGTAAATTATGTATTGAACCTTATGAAATGGTAATGAATTTACGAAGTTGTAAATTTTTGTTATTTCTTTTGCGTGAATAGTAAATTCCACGTGGGGCCCACACTCGGAGCGGGGGGTAACCCGATAACACGAGACCACATGTTATATCCATCTTGGTCTAGATAATAGTTACATGGTGGTGTAAATTCATGATGGGCCATAAGAAAGGCACTGGGTTGACCGGTTGGTCAAACAGAGCCCAATTACCAGTACCGACAATTTATCAGATAACAATCCGAAATGAATTTCGGAGACTTTTAAATGAAAGTTGGGGGATGTATATTCATCCTTAAGATCCATAATGATTGTGAACATGTAATATATTTTATTTGACCCGATAAAATAAAATATAATTAAAACTGTCCGAAAAATACAACTTTCAGGACTGATTGTACATTTCGGGACAAGTTGGGATGACGTCCCACATGGGTGGGGGCCACCCCACGTTTTTGTGTGCTCAAAAAGACCTATGGGGTCTGTAATAACAAAATATTATGTGAAGGAGGATCATTTGGTATCTATAGTACCAAGGAGGACCACTCACCCTCTCTTATTTGTCATTTGAGACAAAAGTGAGTGTCCTCTCTCCCCCTATCATTAGGCTCGACCAACCCCAGCAAGAAAGGAGAAGTAAGCTCTCAAACCATCCTCCATAGCTGCAAAATACGAGCTCATACAATAGAGGTCTAAGGGAGGAGTTTAAAGAAAGAAATAACTAGGAAAAGTGTGAAGAATTAAGGTAATGACCTTATAATAACTTTTCCTTTATTTTTCTTCTACCATATGACTTATATAGCATATGGGAATCCTTTTGGTGGTTCTACATATTTACATATGTAGAGAAATGGGTTGGAAAGTGATGCAAAGTCCAAGAACGGACTTATAGTCAAAGTTACCGGTTCGCCGAAAAATAACCTTTTTGAGGTTGTTTGTATTAATATGGGTTTTATGATTATAAAAACTTATTAGGGACTTGATTAAGGTATTTCAAGAACTTTCATAAAGTTGAAAAAGTCGCTGGAGTTGTCACCGGAGGTCCTCACAAGTCGTCGGAGTTTCGTCGGAGTTCAACCAAGAAGGGTAGAACTTCATAACGCTCATTCAAGGTGAGTGGACGACTTAATGTCTTATAACTCTTGTGTTAAGTATGATATTACCTAAATAAATGTTATAAGTATTCATAATGATGTTTAAAAGAGTTTAAGCATGTGATTAGCCAAGGTGATTAGGCTTATGTGAATGAACTACATGATTATGCATGTGGAAAGTAGAAAATGTATGTAAAAACATATGTGATGTTTTGTATGGCCAAAATGGCATTTATTGATTGTTTTAGACATGATATAGGTTGTATAAAAATTTCGGATCAAACGGATCACATTTCGGGGGTCAACTCGGGGGTCAACGGGCCGTTGACTCAAAACTCCGAACATACCCGGCGCCGGGTATAGGGCATACCCGGGGCTGGGTAAGCTGCTGCCTCCATATTCCGTTTTCGCCAAAAACGCGAATCGGAGCCCGGTTCGAAGGGGGGTTAACCCCGTACAACCTATGTGTATATATTGTGCATGGAATTGCATGGAATATGATATTTAAATGTCAAGGTTGATATCTATTGATTTAATTCTAAGACTTGGTTTAGTCTTTGGTAATAACATGATATAGACCCTATCTAGTGTGATATGTGGTAAGTCATAGGTCAGGTGGAGTACCCAGGGATCAGGCGTGTATCCTCAAAACTCGGTTATAGGGTGGAGTACCCAAGGATCGGGCGGTTATCCTCAAAACTCGGTTATAGAGGGTGGAGTACCCAAGGATCGGGCGGTTATCCTCAAAACTCGGTTATAGGGTGGAGTACCCAAGGATCGGGCGTGTATCCTCAAAACTCGGTTATATAGGGTGGAGTACCCAAGGATCGGGCGTGTATCCTCAAAACTCATAGGTTAATATAAAATTACTGTTTTGTAATTTAGGACCGGGTGGTGTCCTCATGTTAAGATGATTTGAACCAGGAGGAGTTCTATACACTCATAGGTATATGGGTGGGTTGTGGTTTAAGTCAAGGATATTGACTCTACTGTTTTCCCAAATAAACAATGGCCTACGGGTCGGGTATTTCCAAGTAAATATATACTGATATGTATTCCATAACTTGGGGGAAGAACTATACGTATATGTATCACCCTATGTTTGGGTCTTATACTTGAAACGTTAGTTATTCTACATTTAGCCTGTTACTCGCTCGGTACTTGTACTGACCCCTTCGGGGGGGCCCACCATTTCAGGTTGAAGCTAAGGCTAGCTATCCACACCTTGCTCGGTGAAGTGATCCAAAGGAAGACGTGGTTCGTGCTTCCTTTACTGATTTAAACTACAAAACTATGCTCATGGATACTTTGTAATAGGGAAAACTGTCAAATAGGTCCTCGAACTTTCATAAAAAAGTCAATTAAGTCCTTCTATAGGAGGTTCTGTCCGGCCGTCGCGATTTGGGGCAGTTCCCGGTGGATTTTTTTGATGAAATTTTTTGAGCATCTTATTCACCAAGTCTAGTTTACTCATACCAAATTTCAGCTAAACATTCAATCGGGAACACATTCAAATTAATTGTTGAACGCAAAAATGCGCAGTTATCTTCCAGAATTAATTTGAATGTGTTCCCGATTGATGTTTTAGCTGAAATTTGGTATGAGTGAACTAGACTTGGTGAATAAGATGATCAAAAAAATTCATCAAAAAATTCCACCGGGAACTGCCCCAAATCGCGACGGCCGGACAGAACCTCCTATAGAAGGACTTAATTGACCTTTTTATGAAAGTTCGAGGACCTATTTGACAGTTTTCCCTTTGTAATAAATACATTTGTTGTGGGCCTGCGTGCCTACGTTTTGGCCATGTGTGGCCCATGATTGAATATTGAATATTTCCGCTATTCATTCAACCCAAATATGTGATGTTGTTATGTATGTTTACTACTGAGTATGGTATGGACTATGTTCATGGACGCCTTGTGTGACTAAGTCACGTTGACTTGCAAGTGACGTCATTTAGTCATACGGCGGTTGTACACGTGCTTAGATGCGGTCTGGGGCGTGACAATTAAGTGGTATCAGAGCCATCTCAGTTTCTAAAATGTATAATCAACCTCTCACAAGAGATTTTACAAAAAGGTTCTATCGAAAACCATGAGCATTGTATTTTGACGCTTATAGAACTATTGTTACCTAGGTTGCAAGGTCTCTGGTTGTTAAGATGGTACCCTTAACAATTGGTATGGCGGTGACTTGGGCCAATATGTGTCTATAACGTTTTCCGTCAATTGACAATTGATAGGAGTCTAACGACTCGTCCAAATTTCTTTTTCAGAAATGGAGGGTAGGCGCATGGCGACAAGGAACAATCCAAGATGGCAGGCGCCAGTAGCTTCTATGAGAGCTAGCCGGGCTGCATCTCAAAGCTCTAGAGGAGGAAGGGGAGGCCGTGGAGGCCGTGGAGATCGCGGGGGCCATCGAGCCCAAACTGTGAGCGACGACCATGTGAGCTCGGTGTATGAAACCAACACCGAGGACTATGACTCGACCTATGTTCTTGGAACGGAGTATGAGGAGACCCCATATGAATGGGGCGATTTCCACACCAATGATGAGAATGACGATGAGAGTGATGCCCGATTCGCCCAAATGGGTGAATTACTTGAGTGGTATCAGAAAGAGAAACTGAGGAGAGACCTTAGGCGTCAAGCAAGGCGTGGTTCTCAAGGAGTTTCGGGTCAAGGAAGTCGGGGAGCTTCAAGGGCCACACCTGTGGCACCACAAGGTGGGCGTGAAGGAGGTTTTGTAGTGAGAATCTCCGAAAAATTAAAAAAAATGAAAAAAAATTAAATTAGGCCTGGACCCGGGCCCGACCCGGCCGGGCCGGTTCGCCAAAAGTAAGACCGAGCCCGGAACCGAGAACCAGGCCGGTCTCGGTCCCGCACAGTAGCGGGCCGGGTGGCCCGACCCGAGTCCACCACTAGTTTCGTGTAGTACTTCTATAACACTAGCTAGAAACCTTTTAGCAAATTTGAAGGTTTCTTATAAGTCAAATATTGATGTTGCCTTAAGCCTAAGGGGCACCCAAATTTTGTGAGGGAGGATTCAGGTAACGTGTGTAATTATTTCTCGTGTGCGTCGCCGATAATTCACCGGTCGGGTTGGACTTCAAGCATGTGCGAAGTAGGACATTAGATCAGACTGGGTCGGTATAAAGAATATTTTTATAAAACCTTTTCATAGAATTTTTTTTACCCTAAAAGTTGTTTTAAGTTTGGAGTGAGTCGGGACCTAAGTTGACCCTCTATCTGCCCATGATTTCGAGTACGGGCGGGTGTACCCGTCCGCTTGGTATGCATCCAAAATGCATGTATATTCAGTTTAAAGCCCAAATGACCATTTGCATGCAAAAATGCATAATTAGTGTTTCCTAACAAATAACAATACTTGTTATATTTGAATGCCACTTCACGCAAAATGCATTTTTTTTATCTATCCGCCGGCTTCATCTCAGTTCTGAAACTCATGCATCCCACATTGCATTGATATTTACTCCATCCGTTTCACAATCAAAGTCACACTTGTATTCACAAAGGATTTTTTTTACTGAGGGGTAAGTTTTACTGTAGAGTACACTGTTTTGACACTGTTTGATATAGATTTCTTTCCTAAACGGGAAGTATGACTTTTATTTTGGCACATTTAAAAAATAAAAGTGTGACTTTCATTGTGAAACGGAGAGAGTATATTTAATACTTTTAGTAATATACTCCGTATTTATTATTTTATAGTACCTCTTAATTTATGTTTTTTTGAAAGGGCTGGGTTTCTTTATATTTTTCATAGGAAATAATTACATTTTTATGACTAAAATATTGTTAACAAAAATATGACCTTGTGTAGTATATAATATTAACTTCAGTCATATGTTCAATTTTTACACCCAAGTGACCATGATACTACTCATAGTAACTCTAGTCATATATTTATATATAGAGTTTATTTCAACAACACCTTTTGAGAAAAATCTCTTTTTATGTATCAATTGTGTTGCATGAGTATCAATCTTTTAAGGAGTTGATTGTATGGAACATGGTCCATCATATTTGGGGCCTGGAGGCCTCCAAATAAGTAGTCTATCATAGTTTTTTGAAAGAAAAACACCAACCTATATTAATTCAAATAATTGTTCGCAGTTACAATCCGTCAACTAGGGGTGAACTAAAAAACCGAAAAACCGAAACCGACCGACAAACCGACCGAAACAAAACCGACCAAAACTGAAACCGACTCAAACCGAAACCGACTCAAACCGATTAAACATTGGCGGTTCGGATTACGGTTTCACCTTTGGGGTTAAAAAAACCGACCGAACCGAAACCGACCGACAAAAACCGACAAAAACATGCTAAAACTAACCGAAACCGACACGAACCGACCGATATTAACCGAACCGAAACCGACTCAAGTAGTGCGGTTCGGTTTACGGTTTCAGCTTTTCCGGAAAAAAACCGACCAAACCGAATCGATCAAACCGAAAACCGACCAAACCGAACCGACGAACACCCCTAGGCGTCAACACCTCAAAACTTCACTATAGTTTTCCAAAAAACTCCATCTTCACTCACTAAAAGCCCTACAATCTGAGATGGGGTCACCTCTAAAGAAGTAATGTGAATAGATGACCACCAAACTAACTTAGTTCATATCAGTTTCCAAATATCCAATAACATTGACAAGGGCCTCCAGATATTCAATAAAAAACGTACTCCGAGTTGTAAAAGATTATGTTTTATTGTCTTAACTAAAAGATTATGTTTAATTTGACTTCAACCCTATACATTGCAGATCAATAGCACACATTATGGGAAAATACTAAATGTTTTCTACTCTTGCAAATTGATGCGAGGAGTTATATATTGTAAGTTTACTAATTGAAAATTTCATCTTCAAGGTTGAGATGTTAAACGATCTTAATTTATTGGGAAATTTCCTAAATATGAGTAAAAACGCCTTGTAATTTTAAAATATATAAGACTGACATGTTTTTACATTTTAAATAAGAGTAATTACTAAATTGCTTAGAAAATACCGTCGATAATGCCATAATACGGCAGTAAGCCCATAATTACTCAGATTTTAGAAACCAAAACATATTAATCGTATTTTGGAATTTACAAAGGTGTTTACTGCTATTTAGAACAATTTCTTTAATGTATTGTATACAAATGTAGTTTCTGTGATCGAGTTATTAATAGTTTTTGACAGAAATGACCCTAAATAGAACAAAAAACGTTTGTATATTCCAAAATAAGGCTATCATATTTTTATTTCCAAAATAGGACCAATTATTGCCATGTTTTGACAGTACCCGATTTCAAACATGGCGGTAGTTTCCAAATTTGGCAGTAATTACTTATATTTTGAGAATAAAAACATGACAACTCAATTTTGGAATTAACTTTTGTACTCCTTTTTCAGGAATTTTCGGATATGAATAATGACAAGCTAGAAAGAGTTACGGAGTACTCGTATATTTTAAGTTCCACAATGAAGTTCCAACATTGGTTATAAATTTACATACTATAAAAGGGACGCGATGGATGATGAAGTAAAAAAGCATAAGCCACATATACCCAAATCCAATCTTAGGAAAATCATACGGAGTATATTCCAATATGAACAACTCGACTCTGGCTAACTCATCATGTCCCCTCTTGTACTGGGCCACATAGCTAATTTCTCTTTTCTTTTCTACTTCTTTCCATAGTTCTCTCTCTAAATATGTGTGTGTGTGTGTTTAATTGTGAAAAACATAAGATGTGATATATGTACTTAATTGTTAGCTAAAAATAGAATTCAGAGAGTGTTTTTTTAAATAGAATGGAAGTACATTATACTGATCAGCATAATGTTTGTAGTACTCCGTATATATCAATGTGCTTGCTGTTATGATAAGTTTTATTGTTCTGAGCTAAAAATAGAACTCAGTTTTTTATTTTTTCAGAAAAATAATGATTGTTTAATTTCAAGAATTGAAATGTTGTAGCTAGTAGTGATGCACATTGATTAAGTTTTAATTCATTTTCATGTTGAATTTAGGGGAGACAAGAACATCATCAAGGGATTGAAATACAAATGGTTAGACCAGAACATTTTTGTTGATGTTGATACTTGGATCTATCCCCATGTAGCTATTCCAAAATATCCCTCAACAGAATTAAGTCGGTGAGATACATAATTTTATACTCCGTTCAAATTTTGAAGTTTGTGTATCCATTAATAATTACTCCATATATATTTATGATTAAAGTAAAGTTTGTTTATAAAAATGTAATTAAGTGACCAGAGTGCGTAGTGATGGAATTATAGTAATTTGTGTTCAATTTTTTAATTTAGGTTACCATGACAATGCATTGTAATAACTATGAGTCGTATTTGTGTAAATAAATCTTATTTTAGTAATAGTTTTAAAAAAATCCCTTAATTTAATGAGAGCATTATTGATATAAGATTACAAACATTTTGAAATTCCAAAATAGGCCGGAGTAATATGCTTTTATTTCCTAAATATGACTAATTTACTACTATTAAACGTAGAAAATACTGTTGTTTTTAAAGTATGATAATGTCAAAATATTGAAGTACTTATTTCTAAGATAATGAACAGATAATAGCCCTATTTTGGAACTCACAGACATTTTTACTCCCAACTAGAGCAATATTTTCTTGAATAGAAATAGCTTATATTAAAATCAAACGAACCAAAGTAACAAGCATGTCTCAAGACCTTTCCAAACAAAACCAAAAGCCCATCAACCCTCTCACGTCATGATCAGACATAGAACAGTTCATCCCGCGGATAGAGCGAGACTAATCGTTATCCTCCATGGCGACGGTTCAGCAAGGGGCTGGTAACCAAAAGTTGTGGACTAAAATAATGATTTCCCCGGCAACAATTCCATCAACAAATACTCATAAATGATAAAAGTAATGAAGCCAAGCCTCCATTCCCTTAATATTTTTTTCGTAAATCATGGTGTCTAACATTAAAGTTCTAGCCCTGTCACTAATTAACTTGCAGGCTTGTGAAAAAAGTTGTGATGGAGGGGTCATTTACCACACTTCTACAAATAGCTAGGGCTGTTGCAAGAAGTGCACTGAGTGAGAATGACTATATATCTGCGGTTAGTGTATCTGTGAAGGTTGAAAACCCTAAGCAGAAGCTGATTCCACTGATTTTTGGGGAGCTGACGTTTTTCGCTTCAAGGGAAACGACAACATATGATCTATACATGCATGAAATTAAAATTAAAAGAATGTACTTTAATTCGCCAGAGGGCATGGGTGCTGGAACTATTCAATAAATAAATAAATAAATAAATGAAACTTATTATGACACAACATTATATATGTAAATAAGATGTCAATTAAAAGACCATTTGCCAATTGGCTTTGAATAAAAAAAGGATGACACCCCATCCCTGAGGGCCCCCCAAATAGAGAGTGGGGCTCTGTCCCCGGTACTTACAGAGGCCCTATGCATTTTTCAGCATAGTAACCCCTCATCGTAGTTGCCGGGATTCGAACCCGAGACCTAACCCTTGTGGCACTCCCTCGCTACCAGTTGAGTTACGCCCACCGGTACCAATTGGCTTTGAATGAAATGTGGTGGAGTGGCATAATTAATTTCACAACCGAATTTAGAATTAGCCGCTTGCATTCTTCTCTAAAGTATTAGCCGCATCAACATTAATATTGATTTATTACTTCTGTGATTTCTTCCATCTAACCTCCTGTTGTTGATCAGCTGCACCCTCAATCTTAAAATTGAAATTCTCATTTACATTAAAATCGTAAGCTTGCTTTATGAGTTCCTAGATTTAAAAAATCTTTATATATAGTATGCACCTCAGAACTCCGGAAGGAGTTTAAGTGTACACTTGATAAAAGATAAGGATGCGTTAGGTGGAACGTAACAGATACCTCGGAACTTCACAAAAAGTAAATTTAAAAGAAGTTATAGAAAAGATAGATTCAATATGAACTATCTACCTCAATAGATTAAGTCTAGATTAAAATCAAAATTCTCATTTAGACTAAAATCGTTAACTCATTTTTTGAGTTCCTAGATTTAAAAAACCCATATAGTATATACCTC